TTGACGCAATTGCTTTAATGCCATCTTACAGCCTTGACTTGTTATGTTCAAGTATTTAACTTGTAAATATCATCGTAAAACATTTATAGCGACTTTCAGAAAAAGGAGAATCATGTCATGTAATAAGATATTCGTATGACAGGTAAGTTCATAAAGAAACTATAGTACTGTCGGAAATGCTAGAAAAATGCTTTTTAGCCTTAGTATCTTTATAAAGGTGATAAATGTACTATGTTGTCAATATATCAACTCGCCTATTGTCTACCTAATTTTTATTTCAATCGATTTAACATCCTCATGCATTTAAAGGGCAGTTTACAGGAGAGAATTTGGTACCAAAACAGCAACTTAAGATTTATTCAGAATTCAACAACAGAAATCTGAAATAGTCTTTACATTTATGCTAATAATACAGGTGGTGTAAAAATATGAATTAACGTTTTTCCTAAACAAATAAATGTTGAATGTTTGTGTTACTTTACTTAATTATCGTTTTCTGTATTGAAGAAATATTAATATAAATGTTAAGTCTTGATAAATAGGTTTCCCGTCATGCATGCACATCTTTATCACAGCGTGCACTATGGCCAACGATTTGCAGTCGATGGTTGCAAAGGTTTATAGTTTTTTTTTCTGCTTAAAAAAGACAGAGGTAAACCTTTCATTAGTGTAGAGAGGGTTTATTACAGAACTTGTAGAGCTATTGGCATGTCTTACCAACAAGTTTACAATATTGTAAACAAATCAGACAAGACAGGGACCGTCTCATATGCAAAACCGAGACGTAAAACCATCCTTGACAACTTTGACAAGGGAGTGCTTAGACGGACGGTCTACAAACTTTATGAGAAGAAAATACATGTATATATAATATATCTTTGGCCAATGTTCACAACTACATTTAAACTGACCGAATTACATCCATATTTTTTCAATGAACTATACTGTTGACATGCAAAACATTTATTAAAACGTTGCACATTTCTACAATCAATCGATAAGATACCACAAGTGATAGGATTCTTTCCAATGTACAGTAATTCGTATGTTTATGTCACAATAAACACACATACACAAATGATCCCTTACATAACTGATGCGTATACTATACGTACACATATTCAACATTTTGCAGAAAACATCTATTGAGATGACCCCTCGCCCGAGCGTGTGCTCAGGTGTCAATTTCACCTGTCGATACCGTGCATGCTGATGACGTAACACTGGCAGTTAATGTTTGTTTCAAATAACGTCCAACTACCCCTTATTTTTCTAAGTTTTTGGTATTTTCATCAGTAAAAACACAGTTTGGAGCATGTCTCTAAATTTATTCCCCCCGGTCTACATTAGGTAGATGTTTCTTGAAGTGATATTTGTTATTTAAGTAACTGTAATACCTCTGAATTTTAAATATAAGTCAAAAAGCATTTTTCTAGCATTTCCGACAGTCCTTTAGTTGTTGATCTGTTTTGTCAAACGTGATAATGTGATGTTACAGATTTAACATGGAGCTCGACCTTCTGTTTTCTCATCACATTCGACTGCACATCAATGGCTGCAGTATTGATTATACGGCAGTATTCACTCACTTACTCACTCACTCACTCACTCACTCAGGCATGGTTCCCCCCAAGCGAGTGAATTTTGTTGAAGGCCGCTGAGCAAATATAGTTACATTTTAGATGACCATTATTCACATGAATAGTTTCGTATTAGCTCAAGGGGAAAATTTAATATCTTTAAATGAATAATGACATTAAACATAATAATTTATCAAGAATAGTTTTTTGTCTCAGTCGTGTGTGTTACTTGATGAATCCTTGTTGAGAAACCCGATAAGCGAGGTTTATAGCATTAGGTGCCATTCTGAAGGACGTCTTAAGATCAGAGAAAACACAAATACACTCATAAACACACTTCTTTCTTTTAAGCTGTTCTACTCAGACGTAATCATTAAAACGTTCTGGATGAAAATCGTTCATCAGAACGATCAAACAGACTGTATTTTGAGAATTGCCAGCATCAATTGTTATTTACACTTCATCTGACAATAGTCAACTTTTTTATATCGCTCAATTTAAGTTCGACAACCTTAAACACTTCTCACACATCTGTGAATAATCTTTATCCAATTTGTGTGTGTCGGCATCATCAGAACCTAGAATTCCGATCAAACAGAACTTTCGTTTTATGACCATGTGGGCGCCACTGACCCGATGGTCTTCAACGCTATAACTCGCTGTGCAGAGTTACGTCCCTTGGGCATGCTAGGAACCTGTGATCATTGGGCGGAGCTGAATTAAAAGTTAGACCTGATAATGTTTCTGGGTGTGTCAGTACCACGCCCGTGATCAGGGGTTTCACCAAAACAGTAAACGTCTATGGACGGAATCACTCTCCGATTTTCTCTCATATCAAGGGTCTAGTTTGGCCTGCTCGAACAATAAAAACAATAAAACAAATAAATTCTTTTATTTTGACTCAAAACAATATTCAATAAATGATGACCGCCGCGTTATGAGCTGGAATATTGCTGTGCGGCGTAAACTGACGTCACATTGGCAATAGCTATACACGTTTTGAGCCAATAGTGTGATATTCACGTCACATTGATCCATAGAGCGCAAAAACGATCTAAGACGGTAATAATTCCCATAACTTAGGGCACTTAAGACAATGCTAGGGCTAAGAGTTCTTTGTTGATCTGTGTCCAAACACGTTAATAGGTATGGTAGCAGATTGGAGGCTGGATAACAATACCTTTTCCTCAACGTTATAAGCCAATACGCACGCATTCTTCCTTGACCGTTCCTCGCACGTCCTCATGTCGAAACCTTCCTTTATGACAAGTCATACGGCGTAAATCCACCCTCGCTCATTCACTCACTCCAACATCACAAGATGAAACAATTTCATTACATAATGATCAAGAGCTTCCCCTTGTATCAAAAGGTTACTTTGCTCTAAACCTGACCCAACGCCTTCCAGATAACCTAAAGGTTCCCCTATATCAAAGTCAGACCGACAAGGCCATACCCACATTCTCCCCCATCTCCCCGCCTCACTCTCACCCTCACCCTCAACCCAACCGTGCACTGTGCCAACAATACCCGTCGTGTTTCCGATTATTATTAGACTAGTTTAAAGCGTTGGCTCGTCACGCCGAAGACCCGGGTTCGATTCCCAACATGGGCTTGTGTTCCATTTCTGGTGTCCCCTGCCGTGATATTCTGGAATATTGCTAAAAGCGGCGTAAACTAAACTCAGTCGTCTCATCCGATAATTATTACAGGAGTTGCAATCTAAACTGGTTTCATTTTATATTCGCACAGGAAACTTTACGCTATCACCCAACAGGAGACAACAAGTCAAAACATAGATTACAAAACTCGTTTCCTGTTGACTGGGTCCCGTCCTACTGCGTAACGTAGCACAATAACCAGTCCAGAATTTTGAGACCAATTCATTCAACTGGATACATCATTATTAATCAGCATTATTTGATACATCTAAGCACTTGTATATTGCAACACCACGCTTCTTCTAATCTTTGCAATCGCGTTGTGCAGGGTGCTCTGACAAAACGGAAATCTGGAAATCGTGGAAATGTCAAAACGAGGCTCTCCCGCTAGAAAAGTTTGGCGGTCTTGTACGGACTTGATATTATATTTATCACATTGTGCGTTACAGAACTACACTGAATAAGCGCAAAAACACATAACATAAGCGAGCCAGATGCATTGTGAATCATTTTACGACCTCATCAAACAGGGGCAGTCTGTGACGTCATAGTTAAGGTCATGCTGCCTACACCTCGCAATAAAATATAGAAATACGATATTATTAAAGCTTAAAAGTTACAATTCATTGTAAATACGATTTTCTTTTGAAACAAGGAATTGGAATTCAGTGTAACCATAGTTGTTTGTGATGTCTATTTTCAGTTTCACATGAGAAAATTCGAATCGGCTGAAAAGTAGGTCATTGTCTGAATAGGTTAATGAGATTCATGTTTCGGTTTGACAAGAATCTCTGTACCATATCACGGTATAGGTGCTCAGTCGGGATTAGTACCAACGTAAAGAAACAGGGTCGCGATCCACAAAGCGTTCGTAACGTTACGACCTGTCGTAACTCTATAGTTAATCATAGGCTTACAAAGCGTTCGTAACGTTACGACCTGTCGTAACTCTATAGTTAATCATAGGCTTACGATTGTCGTAGTGCTACGGACGTTTTGTGGATCGGCACCCAGGAGGACATACCTACACCTCAATCGATGAACGTTGTAACAACCTGTTCTGATGATATACAGTTTGGGCGGGAGCAACTTCATTTTACAAACAGTAATCGACTATTAGCTTTCATCCCATACCTTGGACCAATGACTGTTTTGCGTCGCCCAGTCGCAGCCATTGAGAAAATGGCTCGTTTAGGTAGGCCGGATCCCAGTCAAGATCAAAGAGTTGCCTGCATTGTGACCAATTCCGAGTACCCTAATTCCAACCCAACACGAAACCGTTCCCCGACATTTACACATGTTCCTCTACTTATGTAACCTTGAGTGTACCCTAATTCCAACCCAACACGAAACCGTTCCCCGACATTTACACATGTTCCTCTACTTATACCCTTGAGTGTACCCTAATTCCAACCCAACACGAAACCGTTCCCCGACATTTACACATGTTCCTCTACTTATAACCTTGAATAACCCTAATTCCAACCCAACACGAAACCGTTCCCCGACATTTACACATGTTCCTCTACTTATACCCTTGAGTATACCCTAATTCCAACCTAACACTAAACCGTTCCCCGACACTTACACATGTTCCTCTACTTATCACCTTGAGTATACCCCAAACAAATACGTCCCAACGACACCACCAAACCAGGAGGAACCGTCACGAGGTAGTTTAGACAGTTCAACAGTCGAAAAGACCGATTACTTTTGTAGAGAACAGTAATGATCATTTAGATGAAAAAATGTGATTTACCTTTCCACAATATCCGTTGCGCAAAGGTTGCCATGGTTTTAAAGGCTTCGTTCACGGGCTGACCAATCTGCGAGAAATCAAGGACATTGATTAAAGATAACTCTGGTGCTGTGACAGATTTATAGTCATCTTTGGTGATCTCTCCGTCTCCCCATAAAGCACGGGTAATGCGGGGTGACAGGGAGAGGGACACTGTTCATATCGTTTAGGGATGAAGCTGGACGGGTTGTCATTGCTGCAGCGTTTGGCTGAGACATTTATCTCCACGCGCCATCAATTGTCGAGTTGATGACGTCCAATTGGAACCGGTCCATGACCGTTGCGTTATAAGTTATAACGTCTGGCTATTGTCTCGGGAGCCCGCTATTGTTACAGTAATGGTTCGGTGTTGTGATATGTTGGCTTGCGTGGTGGACTCTACAGTGACAGATGTATCTGCCACGGGTTTCGGGCAGGAAAAGTTGTAGAATCAGCGATATTTGAAACTGTTGCGTGCTGTGTAGCGGTTTCCCTGCATCGCAGAGGGGAGCAGAACAACACAGGAAAAACATAACTGAATTAATGTTTAGATCTGATGAATGGCTTCTTCAGATGGCTACCATGTTACATCTCCATTCTTGTTTGACGAATGCCCAACCCCAGACCAATTAGCTGTAATATTCGCAGCAACAGCGTCGCTTTGAGTCCAATCCAAACAGCAGGATGATAAAAACAGCTGTCCAAACATATTGGAGGAATTGTGAGCGAGCTTACAGCTTGTACGGAACCTGGAAAACACTATAATTGTCCAGCTATGTGACGCGGGAGAAGCTGGCCAGATAACGGAGGAGCCGACGGAGATGATGAAAATGGACCCAGCCTCCGAGCTCATCCTCCGATTCATTAAGACAAAGCATAGCAAAACCTGGATTCCCAAAGGGCAGGAAGAAACATGAGCCAAGTGAATGTCAGCCACATACACTGTGTGGAACTTTGCTTGAAATGGTAAAAACTATTGGAAGGGAGTTCGGTGCACCGACGGGAGGAAAGTGAAGGCAAGACCTGATTTGAGGTAAAAGTAAGACCTGATGGAGGGAAAGCAAGATGTGATGGGCAAGACCTCAGGAAGGGAAAAGACCTGATGGGAGGGAAAGCAAGACCTGATGGGGGGGAAAGCAAGTCCTGATGGAAGGGAAAGCAAGACCTGATTGAAGGAAAGCAATTTGAGGGAAAGGAAAGGCAGGACCTGATGGAAGTGAAAGCAAGACCTGATTTAAGTGAAAAGCAAGACCTGATTTGAGGGAAAGCAAGACCTGCTTTTAGGGAAAACAAGACCTGATGGAAGGGAAACTAAAGACCTGATTTGAGGGAAAGCAAGACCTGATGGAAAGGAAAGCAAGCAAGACCTGATGGGAGGGAAAGAAGGACATGAGGGGAAGAAAGCAAGACTGAGGGGAGGGATAGCAATTTAGAACCATGTGCATTAGCAGACCCGAGGGATATGAAAAGACCTGAGATGGAAAGCAAGACTGAGAGGAGGTTTAAGCAGAATATTGATATTTTACATACCTCCGTGAACTTAACTTTTGGCACCCTGTTTTTCACAATTTAGATAAAACTCCTAAATATTTTAAAACGCTACTCTGTTCATATGGTAATTGTATACTGTGACCTAACAAGATATCGATTTTAGTAATTCTAAAACGATTATTAAAGATTTTGCCTTTAAACCTGTCATATAATAACTGTAAAACTGTAGAGAGTTTTACGAGGGGTTAACGCACGTGATGAAAAAGCCAACAACATTGTAAAATGTGTGTCAGCGTGATATGTACATGCACGGGTATTTACATTAGCACGCTGAAGTGATGTCAAAGATCGTCAACACACAGGTTGAGGTAAAAACGATGTTGTACAAAGATGACCGGTAAATCATCAAAAGAGTTTACAACTTTTTCAAGCGCAAGGCAAAGCGAAAAAAACCCTCTTTTTAAAATTGAGTGTTTCTTCAAAAGACACTTAATGCCACCAAGATCTGCAAAAGAACATAGCAAAGAGTTATCTCCCATGACACTATTTCAGAGACTGACGATGACATGACAGTTAAATCAGGGACCGTCTCAAAACATGCAAAGAAAATATAGCTTGATGAATTCGTTAGAAGGGTTTGTGAGGGACGTCATGCGTCGGTTAAATCGATCCAGTGAGTCCATAGTCAAGCAAACTGAAGAAAATATTGTTCAAAAGAAGACCATGACATCAATGTATCAAAGCATACCATATGCAAGCTGTTGCTCAAATTTGGATCTTGATACAAGAGATTGAGCAACCAGTATTTAAAGATTTCAATAAATCTACTTGTTTAAAATGGATTTGTGATGATTATACAGTCCCTTTAGATTTGCTTGCAGGCGTAACAATGTAAACAAAATGCACGCGTGTCACACCATGTTGTTTTCTGTTCCATCGTATCATTTTACTCCCTTGTATAACTACTTCTATTTTTCATATGTTTATAAGATGGCTTCTTAAGAAGAAGCTTTAATAATTGACATAAATTTATGAAATTTGAACCTTAGATAGGTCATAAGATTTAAAGAGCATATGCCTAAAAACATTTTGAAGGCATTTTTGGTTGAAAGGTAAGTTGTGAAAAACAGGGTGCCAAAAGTTCAGTTGACGGACTATAGTCGCCTCATACGACAAGCACGGGTTACTGAAGGCCAATTGTAACCCGGATCTTCACGGGTAGTTTAACTTGGGAATGGATACGTAATGCAGTCAGATACAAACATATCAAACCTGCCATTTAGTCTTTATATGTGTCTCTGATTTATCACGTCTGTCAGGTTTAAAAAGCTCAACACTCTAAATGTCAAAATGACCCTTTCGCTGCCAAATGTCGCCATGTTCTTTAAACATGTACAGTTAATCAAAGTGACCTATGTTTCCCCAGACATTTATATTGAGTTCCAGATTTCGTAGCAAGAAATTTAACAGATGAGTCATATTGATAAATCATATTTATTCTGCTGGAAAAATGCGGCGTACCTGATTAGGATATGTTAAAGAATGACTTCAAGTGAAACTGACACTGAAAAATTAAGTTGAATTTATACGCCACAAACAAAGGCGGGTTTCTTTTTGTCAAAGATGTTGGCCAGCCAAATACACGTAGAAGATGGGAACTCTTTCTAATGAAAAATAACACCTCTTTGATAAACCTTATTATTTGTATTTCCTGTTGGACTAGATCCTGATTTGTTTTGTTTAACTTTGCCCTGGACACATCATAATGGGCTTTATACATTTTACCTGGGTATCGAACCCGAACCATCGGCGTGACGAGCGAACGTTTAAACCACTAAACCACCGCAATCTCCTAATTTGGCTGTATCTAGGCAACAGAGCTGTAACAATCCTTCCGATCATAGTCAATATTTCAATAAAATCAATTTTGAATGTTAACATCTACGTAGTATATTTCAAATGTTAAGCTGAGGAGAATATTTAAATTTTGCTGTTCTGAATTTCCCTTGACTTTCAAGCAAACCGTTGTTCCAGGCAAAGTAGTAGGAAGACCCGTACATTCAGTTGTAGTCATCATATACTAAAAAGAGAAAAAAGTGTCTCGAGTTAGTTTTGTTAACTAATTGAAACTCGAAAAGCTGTTTTTGAAATTGATTATGTATTTAGCAATAATTAATTCATGAGACAGTTTGTAAAAAGTCATCTGCGGTTTGGCAATTTCGTGTAAAAATACATTGGTTCAATGAAAACCCGAGTAAGAAATACATTTGCAACCATTTGGCTCCTACCATGGTTTGTTTCAATCATTTGAAAACAGAAGGTTGAAACAGAGTTCAGTGTCGCGTGGAACAGTTAGTGAGTGAGTGAGTTTAGTTTTACGCCGCTTTGAGCAATATTTCAGCAAGGTGTGTGTCAGAAATAGGCTTTACGGTTTGTACCCAAGTGGGGAATCGAGTCTACGGCGTGACGAGCAAACGCATTAACCACGAGCTAACGGGAGTTAAAGACTATTTCACTTTTATCGCGACGTGCGTCCGCGTATGTTACTGCTCATACCAGTCTGGACAAGTGCCGGTGTTTAAGGGACGCAATCTTTCGCATCCATCGCCCGATAGGTTTTGGCAATTAAAATCACACAAAGATTTTATCAGTAAGTAATTAAATTGTTTAGGAAACAATAAAGACAGATTTTATAGATAACAACTTCTTTTACATTTCATGATTCCCACGTTTCGAATCAAATTGTTGTACAGTTGTCAAGTGGGGATAACGGTACAAGGGTCATACTATGTTTACGACACCAGTGCCTAAATGTTGGTATTTCCAGAGCGAGAGCGAGGAATATACTGATATTAAGGCACGAGTGTCGTAAACATAGTATGATATGGGCACGAATATAATATTCTGTTTATTACCGAAGTCGTCAAATTGAGAAAAATACACCCAAATCTACTTTCAAACATAGGCTAGCTACCTGCCGTCGCCTATGTAGAACGCAACGTCATAGAAGAAACGTGACGTCATAGCATTGTTCATGACGTCACGTCACCATGACAAAGTGATATTTTGCCCTAGGGCATCGTATGAAAAATATGAACCCCGATATTTTCGCCCTCGTAGGTAATAAATAAGAAGTTTTTATTCATTTTCTTGTATCGTTGTCAAGCAGAGAAAACGGTACTAGAGTCTCTATCGAAATGTCACCAAATATATCAAGTTATTTATCCATAAAACGTGTCATTATTGAACACCCCAACTTCTAAAATCCACTCAAAGAAGCATCTGGGGCTATCTTGCCCCTGTAACCACTTTTGAAAAGACCTCTAATTTTCTTTTTCGACACCTCATGCTGTCACAAGGAGTTCTTAAATCTATACGTATTTTCAAAATTATTATTGACTTCAATGCTAGTCAAGATGAAAATAAAAAACAACAACATTTACTGTGTACTAATTTAATCTACTCTTAAAATGTTTACGTGAGGTTTTCTGCACACATAAAAAGTTATTTCAAACTACATATTCCGCAAGATAGAACGAATTTATTACACTGAAAAAC